AAAATCGTGACTGCACCCTAGTTTACACCCCCAGTAAAAAAGCACAAACTAGGAAAATCGTGACTGCACCCTAGTTTACCCCCCCAGTAAAAAAGGGCAAACTAGGAAAATCCTGACTGCTCCCTAGTTTACCCCAAAACAAATTCTGCATGGCTATGTGACACATGTCAGGCAGGCTGTGGCAGGCGCCGCAGCTGTCAGGGTTTCACTTTTAAAAAAAATGCGTTTCAGTCGAGACTTTGCGAATGTTGTGCCGTGCCAAACCTAGAGAGGACAATCGTGAATGTGTACAACCCAACTTTAGGGTCGGGTGGGGATGTGTTGTATTCGCGGGATGCCTGAACTAAATTTTAAAACTGAAATTGTGACTGCGCCCCACTTAACCCCCCCCCCCCCCAACAAAAAAAAAAGGGACAACAGAAAGGTATCGTCGGATCGCATTCTTTACTGATCTTTGAGACCTGCATGATGCAACATGGTTCAAAGGCCTCGCTTCACCTTCACAGGTGCGTTCGATCGCATTCTCAATACCGGGAAAAAAAAATAATAAAAAAAAATCGTGACACGTGTCAGGTGCTGCAACACAATCTGTCCCGATCGCACGCTCACTGCATGTCTCATGCAGCCACAATCTGTCCCGATCGCATTCTCACTGCATGTCTCATGCACAGCCACAATCTGTCCCGACCGCCTTCTAAAAGCCGACGATGTACCGCAACGCAATCACATCCTCAATGCCTACGTGACACGTGTCACATCCAGCCGCAATCTGTCCCGATCGCATTCTCAAATGACTACGTGACACGTGCCCGATGCAGCAACAATCTGTGCCAGTTTGCAATCTCAAGACGCGATGCTATACGTGTTTTTCTACCACATTCACGACACATCTGCGGCACCCCTCCTTCACACGACACCTGGTTTTTTTTTTTTCCCTCTTCCTTGGATGCCACCTGTATGCCACGTGTCAGATGATGCAACAATCTCTCCCGATCGCGTTCTCAATGCCTACGTGACACGCGTCAAATTCGCAAAAGGATACCCCCGTCGTCGCAATCTCAACGCCTAAGTTGTACGTGTCCGACATGCCGCAACACTCTCCCGACAGCATTTTCGACAGATCTGTTCGCCCGCTTCGGCGGCCCACTGCGTGACACGTGTCAGACGCCGCAGAAATCTCTTCCGATCGCATTCTAAATCGATCTCTGAGATCCGCAAAAAAAAAAAAAAAAAAGTCCTCCGAGACATCCGTTAAAATTGGAACGACGATACCGAGCAGATCAGCATGGCCACTGCGCAAGGATGACACGCACAAATGGAGACACCCTCAACAATATATATATATCGTCACAAACAGAACTGCCCGGTAAACCGTAGGCAGAGAGAGAGAAGAGGACAACAAACGAGGGGCTGTGACCAACTGTTTCTTCGGAGTTGCACCGACTCATCAGGAGGCTGAACCCTCAACAGTCTGCAGAATCCCCTCACTGATTACACTGTAAATGATAATCTACCTTAACCAAAATCAAAGTAGACTATCACTCACCCACATATATATA